TCGCCCCTCCCCGTGCCCTCCCCCCACAGCTCCCCCCCATGCCCTCCCCCCTCCTGGTGCCCACCCCCCACAGCACCCTCCCTCCCCCCTCCCCTGCCCTCCCCCCACAGCTCTCCCTCCCCCCTCCCGGTGCCCACCCCCCACAGCTCTCCCTCCCCCCTCCCCGTGCCCTCCCCCCACAGCTCCCTCCCCCCTCCCCGTGCCCTTCCTCCACAGCTTCCTCCCCTCCCCGTGCCCTCCTCCCACAGCTCCCTCCCCCCTCCCCGTGCCCTTCCCCCACAGCTTCCTCCCCTCCCCGTGCCCTCCCCCCACAGCTCCCTCCCCCCTCCCGGTGCCCTCCCCCCACAGCTCCCCCTCCATACCGTGAGGGTTTCCGGCCAGGCTCTCGGTGACGGAGCGCCTCTGCCCGCAGGGGTCTGGGCGCACGGCGACTACTGCAAGATCAACCCCAGGACGGGGGGCGTCGTCATGCTGGGCCGGAGGTGAGCCCGCTCCCGAGCCAGAGCAGAGGGCCCCGGCCCCTGTGGGTCCCGCCGCCCGGCTCACCTTCCTGGGCGAGGCCGCACAGAGGCACAGCGGTGACGGGCACAGGCCACGGCCGTCCTGGTCAGGGCGCTCGGTCCTGGGGCCACCACAGCCGGAGGGACCTGCACGGGGGTGGGGGGCGCAGTGAGGGGACATGGTGCCCACACGAGGCGGCTGCTTTGGTGTCTGGCTCTGAGTTTAGAGAGAGAGAGAGGGAGAGGGGAGGGGAAGGACGGCTGGCGGGGTCAGGAGAGGGGACACACTGTGTGGAAAGAGGGTGCCCACCACGCGGCCCCCTCTGCTCCACGCCTTGCTCCATGGGGGGGCCCCGCTGGGTCACGCCTCGCTCCATGGGGGGGCCCTCTGGGTCACGCCTCGCTCCATGGGGGGCCCCTCTGGGACACGCCTCGCTCCATGGGGGGCCCCTCTGGGACACGCCTCGCTCCATGGGGGGCCCCTCTGCTCCACTCCTCGCTCCATGGGGGGCCCCTCTGCTCCACTCCTCGCTCCATGGGGGGGCCTCTGGGTCACGCCTCGCTCTGAGCCGCTCCGTGTTCATGCCACGTCTCTCCCCAGCGACGGCACGCTCAACCCCAACGGCGTGCGCTTCGGCAGCTCGGAGATCTACAACATCGGTAGGCGCTCCCTCCGGGTGGCGGTCAGGTCCCGGGAGGGCGGGGGTCCTGGCGGGGCCGGGGCGGCTTTCCCACGGCCTCCCCTCGGCCCGCCTCCCGGTGTGAGCGGACATGGGTGGGCGTGTCCTTCCCGGGCGGCCTCCGGAGGGGGCTCAGGAGGGGGCTCAGGAGGGGGCCCAGGAGGGGGCTCAGGAGGGGGCTCAGGAGGGGGCTCAGGAGGGGGCCCAGGAGGGGGCCCAGGAGGGGGCTCAGGAGGGGGCTCAGGAGGGGGCCCAGGAGGGGGCTCAGGAGGGGGCTCAGGAGGGGGCCTAGGAGGGGGCCCAGGAGGGGGCTCAGGAGGGGGCTCAGGAGGGGGCCCAGGAGGGGGCTCAGGAGGGGGCCCAGGAGGGGGCTCAGGAGGGGGCCCAGGAGGGGGCCCAGGAGGGGGCTCTTGGGGCCGCCCTGTGTGCTGTGCCTGGGGAGCGGGGGGAGGTGGGTTGCCTTGCCTGCTCCTGGCGCCTGAGGCACAGGGCACAGAGAGGCTGCATGGGTGCTGAGGGTCACAGAGCACCATACGGGGGCCCCGTGGCCGCACAGCTGCGCCCCCCACACTGGGGACGGAGCCCGCATGGCCCCACCTGGAATCATCTCCTGGTTCCTGGGTCAGCGCTCATCCACTGAGCCACGCCGGCCGGCCTTACATCTAAATTTGTGTTTTGTTAATCCTCACCCGGGATATTTTCCCATTAATTTTTTAGAGAGTGGAAGGGAGGGGGGAGAGAGAAAAACACACTGCCGCGAGGGAGGCACAGGGATTGGTTGCCTCCTGCACGCTCGACTGGAGCAGAGATGGAACCTGCAACCCAGGTGCATGCCCTCGACCGTGAACCGACCCCGTGACCCTCCCGTGCCTGGCCCGAGGCTCTAACCACTGATCCTGGCGCGGACCAGCCTCCTTAAAGCAATCTGATCTGGAAAGTAGGGGCCGCTCATGCCGCCTCCTCGCAGACCGTCCAGCTCAGCGGGAGCTGTCTCCCCAGAGGGGTGCTGGCCCACCCACCCCCGCGCCCCAGGGCTCCTCGCGGGCGGCCTGACCCCCTTCCCCGCCCTCCCCCCGCAGTGGAAGCCTTCGAGGAGGTGAGCGACAGCCTGTGCGTCCCGCAGCACAGCCGCGACGGCGAGGAGCGCGTGGTGCTGTTCCTGCGGATGGCGGCCGGCCACGCCTTCCGGCCCGCGCTGGTGCAGCGCATCCGCGACGCCATCCGCAGCGGCCTGTCCGCGCGGCACGTGCCCAGCCTCATCCTGGAGACCAAGGGCATCCCGGTGCGTGCCCTCGCGGCCTGTCCTGCCCTTCTCCTCTGCCCCTGCCCCTGCCCCTGCCCCTGCCCCTGCCTCTGCTCCTCTTCCTGCCCCTCCCCCTGCCCCTGCTCCTCCCCCTGCCCCTCCCCCTGCTCCTGCCTCTGCCTCTGCCCCTCTTCCTGTCCCCTGCCCCTCCCCCTGCCTCTGCCTCTGCCTCTGCCTCCTCTTCCTGCCCCCTCCCCCTCCCCCTCCCCCTGCCTCTGCCCCCTCTTCCTGCCCCCTCCCCCTGCCTCTGCCTCTGTCCCCTCTTCCTGTCCCCTGCCCCTCCCTCTGCCCCTCTTCCTGTCCCCTGCCTCTGCCCCTCTTCCTGTCCCCTGCCCCTCCCCCTGCCCCTGCCTCTGCCTCCTCTTCCTGTCCCCTGCCTCTCCCTCTGCCCCTGCCCCTGCCCCTCCCCCTGGCCGCCTGCGCACTGCACCTCCCATGCGCTCACGCGGGACTCATCGCGAGGCCGGCCCAGGCTTTATATATAGTTTGTCCCTGTTGCCTGGCAACAAGTGCCTTCCCCCGCCACCCGCTTTCTAACCCTTCCTAAACCGCACCGAAAGCAGCTTCTGCTAGATACCCCATCAGAGAGCAGCAGGCCGCCCTGCACCGCCCCTCTCCCCCCTCCCCTCCCCTCCCCCCGCTCCCCCGGCTCCCCCTGCGGGTCCCTAACGGGATTAACGCCCCTTCCCCAGGCCCCGGGGCGGCGGCTCTGGCCCCTGGACTGACCTGCGTCTGTCTGGGGCTGAGCGCTGCCCGTGCCCCTCCCGGTGTGGGTGAGGGGTCTGGCAGCTGGGAGGTCTGGCACGTGTGTGCGCGCGCGCGCGTGTGCCTGTGCAGCTGCTCCCCGGGCCGGCAGGTGGCGCTGCGCTCGGAGCTGCCCCGGCAACGTCTTTGCTGCAATGTTTCCAGGATGGGGGGTTAGGGTTAGGGCTAGGGCTAGGGTTTTAGGGAGTTGGGGGTTAGGGGTTAGGGTTTTAGGGAGTTAGGGATTAGGGTTTTAGGGAGTTAGAGGTTGGGGGTTAGGGTTTTAGGGAGTTAGGGCCTTGGGGTTAGGGTTTTAGGGAGTTAGGGGTTGGGGGTTAGAGTTTTAGGGAGTTAGGGGTTGGGGGTTAGGGTTTTAGGGAGTTGGGGGTTGGGGGTTGGGTTTTGGGGGTTAGGGGTTAGAGTTTTAGGGAGTTAGGGGTTGGGGGTTAGGGTTTTAGGGAGTTGGGGGTTGGGGGTTGGGTTTTGGGGGTTAGGGGTTAGAGTTTTAGGGAGTTAGGGGCTGGGGGTTAGGGTTTTAGGGAGTTGGGGGTTGGGGGTTGGGTTTTGGGGGTTAGGGGTTAGGGTTTTAGGGAGTTAGGGGTTGGGGGTTGGGTTTTGGGGGTTAGGGGTTAGAGTTTTAGGGAGTTAGGGGTTGGGGGTTAGGGTTTTAGGGAGTTGGGGGTTGGGGGTTGGGTTTTGGGGGTTAGGGGTTAGGGTTTTAGGGAGTTAGGGGTTGGGGGTTGGGTTTTGGGGGTTAGGGGTTAGAGTTTTAGGGAGTTAGGGGTTGGGGGTTAGGGTTTTAGGGAGTTGGGGGTTGGGGGTTGGGTTTTGGGGGTTAGGGGTTAGAGTTTTAGGGAGTTAGGGGCTGGGGGTTAGGGTTTTAGGGAGTTGGGGGTTGGGGGTTGGGTTTTGGGGGTTAGGGGTTAGGGAGTTAGGGGTTGGGGGTTGGGGGTTAAGGTTTTAGGGAGTTAGGGGTTGGGGGTTAGAGTTTTAGGGAGTTAGGGGTTAGGGGTTGGGGGTTGGGGGTTAGGGTTTTAGGGAGTTAGGGGTTGGGGGTTAGGGAACACTCCCCGGCTGCTGCGTGCAGTGTCTCCTCCCCACTCCC